AGTGGGCTTCCCTCAGTGTTCCCTTGATAGCACCCCCTACTTTGAGACACACCCAAAGGACCTTGTCTGGGTGGAGTATTTTGGGGCTTGGGATCCCACATCCATTGAGTCGCTGTTGACCCAAACGGGCCCGGAGATGCATCCGGCTGATGGAATGTCTACTTCCGTCTCAAGAACTCCAAGCATAGCCATCAGTCGCCAGGGGAAACAAACATCATATCTGGTCTCAGACCGTTGACTGCTACTAAATGAGGGTAGAACAGAAGACACCACAACCAGGAACTCTTTGCAACCGCTCGACAAGGCCACCAGCAAAAGCCACTTCTTGGTCGAGTTGGTTCAGGGGTTCGGTGTTGAGCAAGGACCCAAGTTGGGAATGACTCTGAACTATCCACTGGCTCGAAACCATTACTGGCATGACTGGCTGGGTTCATTCCAACTGATTCCCTGCACCAAGCCGAGCCAATAGGTGGTTCAGTTCAAGCCACTGGCACCTCTTGCCAGGCGGAGCCGGAAGCTTCCCCCGAAATCCCTCAGGTGTCTGAGATCAAGAGCAGGGGGGCCTGGCCAAGCCGCGGAGGCGAAGGTTGAAGGCGGTGTGAGGCACGGGGTCTTAGGTTCGCGGGGTTAGATGGATGGCTTGGCTCTCGCTGGTGCCGAGCGAAAGATACATATGAAATTGCATTTGTGAGGGCTGGGGCACGGCACGGGGATGTCGCAGCTAGGTTTCTTCAGGAAACATCGCGCAACATATGCTTTTGTTGTCTTGAGGAGACAAACGAGTTTTTGATGGCAGGGCCATGACGCGGGGGAGGTAGCCTTGTGCCAAAGCACTCATTTTGCTTGTTTGGGTTAGCCGGGCAGGCTTGTGACAAGTAAATCCATGGGCAGTTACAACAAGTTGTCTTGAATGTGACAGTCTCACACGAAACGGGCGTTTCAAAATTGCGCTCTCGCTTTGGTGCCGCTGTTCAGACTTGTGCGTTATGCATGATCTACGCTGACAATATAGATCTCGTGGTGCGGTGAGTTTTTTGGCGGGCGCAGCATGTCATGAATTTCAGAGCTTTGCAAGTCGAAAGCAAACTCTCTGCGGCTTGTCGAATCGTGGCTGCGGCGATGCGCAAATGTTGAAGGATAAAAGCAGAAGATCATATCATTGCTGCAAGTCTTAGCTGCGTACATAAGCTGAGCTTTCGTGATTACAGCACAAAGTTAGAGATGTTTCCTGTTGATAGGACGCCTTTGGAGGGGTTGTGAGAAAGCCAAGTGACCTCCCCCCAGACCACCACCACCCACCCACACCCACACCCACACCCACACCCACACCCACACCCACACCCACACCCACACCCACACCCACACCCACACCCACACCCACACCCACACCCACACCCACACCCACACCCACACCCACACCCACACCCATCCCCAGCACACCCACCCACCCATACCCAGCACACCCACCCACACATACCCAGCACACCCACCCACACATACCCAGCACACCCACCCACACATACCCAGCACACCCACCCACACATACCCAGCACACCCACCCACACATACCCAGCACACCCACCCACACATACCCAGCACACCCACACATACCCAGCACACCCACCCACCCACCCACCCGCACCCGCACCCGCACCCGCACCCGCACCCGCACCCGCACCCGCACCCGCACCCGCACCCGCACCCGCACCCGCACCCGCACCCGCACCCCCACCCCCACCCCCACCCCCACCCCCACCCCCACACCCACACCCACACCCACACCCACACCCACACCCACACCCACACCCACACCCCCACCACCACCACCACCACCCCCACCACCACCACCACCACCACCACCACCACCACCACCACCACCAGCTGGCACCACCGCAGCTGCTACTTCTTCTGAGGTGAGTCGACCCACCGCAGCGAGCCAGCGCTGACCTGAGACTGGTTTAATCTTGGTGGTTCCGAAGCCCAGACGCATTGTTTGGCGTGCCAGTGGGAGAAACTTGTGAATCCGCCAAAACAAGTCCTCATTGTGGGAAACACCCACTTGTTGTCACTGCTTACTGACTTCCAGTAAACCTGGGTTTGGCTTTGCGTTTCACCATCTAAGGGGCGGTTGAACAGGACTTCCAAAAGTGCAATCGAGAATCCCTCCTGTTTTTCATGGACAGAGAACCAGCATGCAAAGCCTTTTGGGCTTTGACCCGTAGACCGTGTGCCTGTCCACTCTGGATTTGTCGGATTTCTTTTGGCGCCTGGCGCGTGGCTGAACTGGGAGTTCAATGATGGTTTGCGCAGGATCAGATTGTGGAATGTCCGGCCCATTTTTGTGCTTCCAACTCTTCGGGAGGAGACGTGTTGGGAAGTCCTGCGCATATCGAGGTTTCGCCGCCGGCCAGGCCCGGGGGGGGTGGAATGCGGTGGCAAGGATTGACTTGAGCCGAACCCGACGCCGCATGTGTAGGACGTGACTTTTCGGGGCTGAACGCACCTCTAAGGAAAGGTGGGTTTTACACGTGGCCTAGACTTGCAAACAGTGGCATGCTTGTGGGGCTTGGGTTTTGACTCAGGTGCCCCCTTCTTGGGGCTCAACTTTTGTCTTAAGGGCCAGAACGCACGTCCTCCCTACCATCGTGGAAGTGGACAGGAGCGCATTGGACAGAAAGGGACGTTATTAGTGTAGAAACTAATTCTTTCCTGGGGCCAACCATATGTTCTTACTTGGAGCTTGAATGGGCGATGGATAGAGTCAACACCATCGCAGGGTTCCCACTAAGGGATGATGCCCTTCCCACTTAGTTTCATCTTCGTGTTCCACATATGACGGTAGCAGCCCAAGCCATGCGTCGCATTGCCAGGACAGAGCGTCGGAGGAGCAGCAGTGGGTGGCAAACTTTGTCCAACTCTGGTTTGCTTGCTGATTGCCCGGTTTGCAATTGAGGAGAAACGCGAGCTTTGCACGAGAATGCAAGACACTCATGGGCGTCAGATCGACCTCAAGACTTCGGAACACAGCCCAAAGGGTTCAAAGGGAGTTTAAGACCCTTGAACCACATCCAACAAGGAGTCAATATCAGGCTGCAGACGCATGGATCCCGGGCTAGGAGTAGCCAGAGCTTCGCCCCGGATGTGAGCTTCAGCCCGGCGCCGCCCTGGGTGGAGCCTCCCGAGCCCCCAGCGCGGCCGCGGAAGCGGCACCACAGGCCCTCCATGCTGAGGCCGCCGTTGGGGATACCCGGGCAAGGGCCGAGGCTATCACCAGGTGACCCTTTTTCCTGCGAACGGGCAACCTGGGACGCTTCACTTCGGTCGGTTTGAGGGACTGACCACTTAGTCACACATCCACGGGCGTGGGGTGGGGCAAGGAACGCAGAGATGGAGTTTATTGAACACCACTGGAGTCATTTCAAAAAACCTCTTTTCAGAAAAAAAAGAACATCCGAACGCCCAGCTTTGGCATCGTCACAAAATCTCAAGCGGCAGGTGGCTCTTCTTTGGCAAAGGCACCAAGGACGTGAGTGACGTGGAAGCCCTGGGCGAGCGCGGTTCCCCTTCCTTCCCCCCGTTTCCCCCGTTTCCTTTCCGCATCCCCCCCTTCCCCCGCGCTGTTTCTGCAACGTTGTGAAGTCTTTTCTTTCTTGGAAAGGGTCCAAGTGGTGAAACGGTCCCGAAGCGACCCCGTTGAATACTCCGCTGGCAGATGGCGCGCGAGGCATGCGATGGTATTCCGGTTGTTTTCCTTTGTCAATCTAGCTTTGACAACTTCCAGGGCCCATTTCTCTGGCTTTTACCCCCAAGCATTTGCCGCTATCTTAAGCTGCCGGTTCTTTGCTCCTTGGTGAGGAGCGCAGATCCTGGTGGTTTTGGTGATTCTGCCCAAAGACGGCGGCCTTGCGGTGACTCGTATAGAGGTCCCTTTAGGAAACCTCCAGGTGGGTATGTCTTTTTGCGAGGGCACCCTTCCTGGGCTTGTTTTACATGGAAACACACAAGCAAATCAGCCATTTGGGGGCCCCCCATTTTAAGACACGCCCATGTGGATCAGTTCGATTTTTGCGGCCTCTTTTGGCCCGGCGCAGCCCTCGCTCCGTTTGGAGCTTCGAGGGATCAAGGATTGGCTGCATTGCAGCCCGGCCAGAGCCACTGTCTCCCCCGCCCGGCAGGCCGCTTCGGGGCGTTCAAAAGGTCTCCTCTGTCTCATTGGCGAAGAACAACTGAACAGGTTCGAGATTACATGACAAGAAGACAATGAGAGAAGTAGCACCATTGAATCTTTTTTTTTTTCTTTTTCTGAAAGCATTGGGGTCACTCAACTTGAGATGTGTCGATCTTTCGCGCGAGAGGCGGAATGACCTTTAATCTGATAATTTGATCGTAGGTGCGCATTCGAGGCTTCCTGAAAGGAAGTCCTCGACCAATGCTTTGGCGTGTTCCATCTGAAGATGGAGCCTATGCCCACTTGCCCAGTGGCACCTTTTCCATTTTTGGGTGGGTTTCCCTTGAAAAAGCAAGCGACAGAAACGAGTGCGGGCAAAGAAAGTTAAGTTGGCAAGCCTAGAGATGTTGTCCAGGGTGACCCCAGCACGTGACTACGTGGACCCCTGCCGACTTGCCCGTGGGGATCACTTTTTGCCCCCTGGTCTTAACCAGCGTATTGCTCATTTTCTTCTAAATTTGCATTGACTGTGCCCAAAGCTTGCAGTCGACCGATAGAGTTGCGTGTAATTGCTGTCTGACTTTGCTCAGCCGTTGCCGTGTTTCATAGTGCATTAGACGCTTAGGAGTTAGTGCGGTGATGAAAAAAACATTTTGCTCACGTGATGTACCGAATTGATGGAGTTATGCGGGTGTCCAAAATGGGTTGCTTGGCCCGAGTGACCAAGATTGTCCTGGTCTAAGATCAGGTTCAAGCTTGGAAGCAGTCATTGCCCGTCAGAAGTTGCAAGAACTTTGACGCTCTCTCTCGCTGCCATTGTTTCTGTGGGCTCAGGGGGCTTGCCCGTAGGGTTCAGCTCGTACAGAGGGCGTGCCCTGGCCAGGACCTTCTTGATCCTTGGCAGCTGTTAAAATAGAGTCGCTTGTTTTTGTGGGTTGTGTAGTGTTCGAATAGCCGAAGCTCCGCGGAAGCACGGCGAAAGCTTACAGCTAGAACATAGCACATGTTTAGATCCCGTGCTTTCATACGTAGACGTTGCGTGTTTTGATATTTGCTTGCGTCCCGGAAGCTCACCGGAAGCTTCGCAAAACCTTTTTGTTTAGAGCCGTTTGGGCTGAAGCTCTTCTCACGTTTTACTTGGCCTTGGTGGGGTTCTTGTTTGAGGAGGCGCCGTAGTCCACAAGGAAGATATTTTTGATAGGAGAAGCAAGTGTTTTCCGCGGGAACTCACGGGAGCTAGTGCCCTCAGAAAGCTCCGTGTCGTCAACAGTGTTCAACGATTGTATAGCCCTTTTCCCTTTCGGCTCATCAGTTGGGGGCAGCGGTGAGCACCTCTTAGATGGGTAGCTTCAACGGCCATAGATGCTAGGCATTTGTCCTTTTCTCCGAGCCCTAGCTTGCAGCAGTGTCATCCTTTTGGAGCTCGTGGAAGTGGACACCCCAAACACGCTTCCAATACTGTTGTTTCTATTCTAGTCGCTCCCAAAAATTGTTTTGCGTGTGGTTCCACGCTGCAAAAGACGGTTGCGTCTTTGCGGTTGACACCTAGAGGGATTGAAGCTTATAAAGTTCGTTTTCGAAAAGGAAAAAGAAGAACAAAAAACAGTCCTCGGCCTCGTTGGGTCATGTTTGAACTGGAAGGAGGGGAATGACTGCCTCACGCCTCACCCAGACCCGTACCAAACCCCCTTTTTTTGCCCGGACCCGAAGCCCAGCCCGAGGTCGGCAAGGCGGCACGTGCCTGGTGGCATGGGTGCCGCCCTGCCAGGCAGAGTTCGTTCGAATCCAGTCGAGAATCTCCAAACCTTTGCAACAGGTTTCATTTCAGCCGCTTTTGCCAGCCAAGGTGTTCCCATATTTTTTTGGATTCTTACAGGAAAACAAAAAGGGCTCAAGTTCAATGCTCGACTTTGTTTGGTTTGCGTTGTCTTTTTGCAGAAGTCGCCACCAGATTTTGTACCTTTAGCCCAAACATCATTCTGCACGCAGCATGCCGAGCTCACTGGGGAGGCGAAACCGAGCAGGCCTTATGACGAAGGTCCCTGATTTGGGTGCTCTTGTTTTCTGTTTTGGACCTGTAGAAAAGGGACGACGGAGTCAAGCAACATAGTCTGCAGGCATGAGCGAACTGCTTCTCGACCGTTTACCCAAGCCCATGGATGAGGGTGTGGAGGAGCAGAGATCAGTCCCCATCACAAATTGAACTCTCAAAGCAGTCGTGCTCCCTTTGAAGCCGCCCAATCACTAGAGGGTTTGGCCCGGGGTGCCTTGTAATGTTCGGCTGGAAGTCAAGTTGGAACGGCAAAAATGCGGAGCCGCTTCTTCCAAGCGCCCTTGTACATTCCCGGGGTTTGCAGTGGGGTGTGCTGGAGAGGTTTTGTCGATGCTGTTGGGGATGCTCCTTGGCCTTGTTCAATGAAAAACGAGAGGCGGAAGGCAATTCGTGCTTCCTTCTCCCTTGCGGCAGGCTGCCATACATGCAGACCAGGCCAGGGAGAGGGGGCAGTGGAAGCTCTGATGTGTTTTATGCTTCTTTTGAATGCCATCGAAAAGGGAGTCCATCATTTTGGGGCCACCCTCTGTGGGCCACTTCCTGGCACAGCCAAGAAAGGAAACGCAAAGGCTTCCTTTCGAACGGCATTGAAAAGGGAAAGGGGAAGGAGCCCGTTTCAATTTGTCGGGGATCACTCTCTTTTCGATTGATCAGCCAGGAATGCCCATGGTAATGGCCCCCAAAACAACGGCAATCCAGTTGCAGGTGGTCGCTTCGCTCTTTGCTTTGCGTTTTACATGTCACCCATTTGAACGGCTTTTTTAAACGTGGATCTCTCTAAGAGCGTTTGTGTTGGGTTGGCCGCTTTTGCCTCAGGCCCCGAGAACTCCAACAAGAGCCTTCGTCCCTTCCTTCAGGCCTTGAAGGAAGCAGGCGCGAGCCACTCTCGGTGCTGAAACGCGTTAACGTCCGGCGAGGTTCCCTTTTCATGCAGTGGACGAAATCCTGGACCCCTCTGAAACCATGACACCCTTGTTCGTTGGTCCTTGCACTGGAATCATTCTTCTCGGTTTTCCTTGGTGGTGCAGGATTTCGTCCTTCCACAGTAGGTCTCCCGTGTTTGACGCCGGTGAATTCAACTCCAGTGTCTGTGAGCACTGCATGCTCATGCAGAAGGAGGAACTTCTGTGGTACTGGAACTAATTGGAGCCTGCCCAGCGTTGAGCCGGCGTGGAAAAGCTACCGTCCTTCTACACAGTAGAGGGCGGGGGATCAGCTTGTGGCTATGCCTTCAGGCTTTGTTTGCCACTGATGCTCGTCGGATACGGCTAGGCCCTTGATCGAGTTTGGCCTTGGGCAGGGTGGCAAGCGTGCTGTTCCTGTTTTTCTTTTTTGGCACTCACCAGCGGGCTGCCGGAGGAGGTGCAACGCCATGCCACCAGCCTCGCCATGGGGGCTCGATGTTGCAGGGTTCCGTAGAGTTGCTGCGGGGCCGCCGGGGAGAAGGGGCCATCGTGTTGATCAACATTGAGCTCATGGGATGGGCCAATGTGGCCAGAAGGTTGGACGCAACCCAATATGAGCCACAATCAAAACCCGGTTAGATGAAGGTTAGAAAGGGCAGTCCCAGCCAGAAATAGTTGGCCTTCTTTATTCTTTGCATGGTTCTGGGTAGACCCTTTTATTACCGGGTTTTGATTGTGACTCATATGGCGTTCCTCTTGATAGCTCGTTGAGATGTGAGATGTCTTCGTGCTCTTGTTTAGTCACTCTGCCCTCACTCAATCCAGTATTCGGCCAGGTGTTGTGACAGAGGGGACTGCTGGCTGAGAGACGCATTACAGGTTTTCTGGGGTTTGGCGTTGGGCAGGGGTTTGACTTCCTCGCTTGCGCTCCCGGCCGTGACCGCGCGTGTGCGGTTAGAGCCATCAGTATTGAGGGGGCTCTGCCATGTTTAGACGCAATTCTTGAGGTCGGGCTCCAGTGTTGCCTAGCTGTGGCCGTTTCTCCTGACCCACCAGCCTACAAAGACTCTTCTGCGTTGCGCATGAACAGCGCCAAGAAAATGACAAGCTCACGACAGCTGGGGGTTGCAAAACCATGGCTCTGTGCGTGAAATCGACTCTCCGCAGTCGCGACTGCGAGCGCGAATGGCTGGAGTTGGAAAGGCGTGGCCCCGTGCGTGAAATTGGCTCGACGCGGGCTCGGAGCGGGCTCGGAACATGCTTGGCGCGGTTTCGGACGCGGTGCGTTGGCACGGCCCCAGCAACCGCTGCGCGGGCAACCCTTGCTTTTCGGAGCTTGCGCAACCATCAACTGGTGAACCTTCCGCCGACTTTCGCGGGGCCAACAAATCTAGCAGTAATCTATCCAGACATCGACGTGGCTCACGAGTTCGCTAGCTAACTAGGTACCTCAGATCTGGGCACAAGCCAACTAGCTTCTTGAACTGGCTGACTACCAAACCAGCTAACTAGTTACTCAGCAAATTGGACTGCTGGCCAGTTCTAACTACCCAACTAAGGGAAATTAGATAACAGCCAACAATCGAAGTAGCCATTCCACGAGCCAACCAGATCAATGGCTCGATGTCTATCTGACTAGATGCCTGCTGTAGCTTGCCTTCAAACAAGCGAACTACCCAACCAATGTTACAGCTCACTAGCTATTTAATTGGCTGGCTGGCAGTCCGACCAGCGAGCTAGGTATAGCTAGCTAACCGAAGTTGCTAGCCAAAGCAAGTTTAGCAAAGGCTTCCGCTGGAACGAAGCCTGCGCAGTTTGATCAAATTTGCGTGCCAAGTTGGTGATGTCAAGTGTCAAGTGCGCTTGGGAGATCCTGCCATGATGTTTGTATGTGCGTCGTTCGGCTGGGCGGGGAAATGTCTTCGCTGAGCAGACCCTTGACGGACAGCGCCGAATATATTGACAGCTCATTTCGCGAAGTCATGAAAACTGTACCAAACTGGGGGCGGTGCCTGGCAAGCGAGGACGTACTGCTTTTCTGGTGGAATGAGCAGCTACGTATGTTGAAAACCATGCTTGCACCACGCAATCGCAGAGTCGCCCACAAATGCATTTCTGCGGGGCAACAGCAAAGACAGCCGCCAAATAATGGGGTAGGCAAACTTTTTACTATTTTACTAGGTGGCTTCGAAACCCTCTATGGTTGCCACGTTTTCGCGGTCACCCTGTGGTTCTTTTTCTTGCGTCGAAACAGTGGATTGGTTGGGCCTGCAAGTTTTCCGCATTGTTAGCATTGCCATGGCTTGGTGGAACTGCATGAAGGCTTCTTTACTTTGCGGGGGTTTGCCTTGGCCCTGCCCTCCCCCCCTCTGGTGACCTTGCTGCAAAGAAACCGCTGTTGAGGAGGGCCTTGATTGGTGTTTCTACAGGTTGGCAAAGGTTAAGTTTCTGGCTTTAGTTGGTTCTGTCAGTGTTAAAGCCAAAGATCTAGGAGGGAGGTATCGGCAACTGGTTGTGACACATGGCCCACTTGCCCACCAGCGGCCACGATCGGCCGTGCTCTGCTTGCTCAGGAGGAGTTGAGAAAACTCCGGATGCAGAGGCGCCGTACGGTGTTTGTTTGTGCGTATGTGCTGTTTGCAGGTCAAGCTGTTGAGTGACGCTGTTGATTCCCAGTGACGCTGTTGATTCCATTGTTGGAGGTTGGTTTTGGCTGTTGTTTTGCAAACATCGATATATATATATATGGTACCCCCCCCCATGGACCCTGGTTTGGTGCGTTTGACCTGTATTTTCCAGTGTCTTATGCTTCTTTTTGCTTCTTGGATTTGTGTCAACATTGGGGGGGGTCATACATGTATATGATACGCATGCATGCATACAGATGTGATAAAAGCAATGACATCAGCATCTGCAATCTAAAAACTTTTAAACATTCTGGGATTCAAGATTCAAGATTCCCAGAAAATATTTTCTCACATTCTTGAATCTTGAATCTTGAATCCCATAATTTTTAAACACTTTTAGAAATCCCAGGGTTGTCCCAATACTCTCGGTGATCAATAAGATTCTCGGAAAAGTTTTCCGTGACATATTTCAATCCAGTGGCAAAATATGTTCAAGGTGATAGAACAACTTGAACATTTTTAGGGGTTGACCAGGATGGATGATTCTCAGGAAAGTGGTGGTTTGTGGGCTCCTCAATATTAAATCCCCAATCCAGTGGTAAGGCACTTTCAAGTGTTAGAAGAACTTGAATGTTATTTGGGTTTGGCCAGGATTGACAATTCTCAAGAAAGTTTTCTGTGTAGTCTTCAATCTTGAATCTTCCATCCGATAGTAGCATATTTTCAAGTGCTTAGCGATTCAGTGGACACACTTTCAAGTTATTGGTTAGACAAACTTTCAAGTGCTTTTGGTGAGCTTCATGTCAGCTATGCTCATGTTGACCCCGTTATTGGAGGTAAACAAAGGCAGGTGTAACGCTCTAAAATGCGGTATTTTCCAGTATTTTATGCGGAGGCGCAGCATCATTGGGGGTATTTTATATGTGTGTATGTATGTGTATATATAGATATACATATGTATGTACGTTCACACACCGTCCCCCACCCTCTTGAACTAGCTGTCCACACTTGCTCATCTACTACCTCCACCTTTTGAGATAGAATTAACTTTCCTGCGCAAATAGAACTTTAAATACAACGGTTTAGCTAGAATCCCTGTTTCGAGATAGTTTTAGATTTTGAACCTCTCTTCCTTTGAAATATCCCTTTGGAACACCGTCTAACAAGTTCAATGTCGGACCTTTGATATGCTACAAAAGCGCCATAATGTAATAACACAAATCGTATTTTTTTATTTCCTTGTAGAAGTTCCTTAAATGTTTGGCCATATTTAATAGGAATCATATTTGAGATGTAGTCTCTATTCACTTGATATTATCAAAAGCACATTGAGTTGTGTTCGTCTTAGATTATATTTAACACTTGGATTATATTTGGGGAACACCTTCCATCTAACTTCTTGTGTTATAGATTAGTTGGAGTTCAGCCGAGAAATATATATATATATATATACATTTTCATGTAGCTGCTATTTGGAAAGGATTTGCTTGTTTAAGGTGTAATTGAACATACACACATTTTTGAAAACTATATCCTTACTAAACTATATTTAAAATTCCAATTCTAGTTGCAGTAACATCTTATTTGGAAAGGGTATCATACTGGGACATTGTGGAGGACTTCGGGCTCCAAATTATCAAGCTTTGGGGACCCACAATTGGACATTTCGAGAATACAAATTTTGAAAGTCTAGATTTGCCATCCCCAAAAGGCAGTAAAACCAGGGTCCATTGGGGGGGGGGGTTGCAAATATATATATATATATATATACTGCAGTACTTGTCTCCTGTCAGAAAGTCAATTAGTTGCAGGCATCGTTCCAGGCGTGGGTAAATCTGGCTTGGACATCTTGCGAACTCTCTTTGAAGGGAAACCTTGGTGGTTGCAACATTTTCAAGCGGGTGTTTAGCTTAGGACATTGATATCTCGCATCCCACCCTTTTTCGCGCCAGGGGAACAAGCGTTTCCTTGAATTGCTAAATCATAGCTTCCCCGAGCTGGCGATCTACAGACAAGGCGGGCCGAAATGGCAAGTACAGCGCTTTGCTTTGAGTCAGTTGCCTGATGGCGGGCCCCTTTTTCCTTTTTTGGTAGCTTTCTACTTGACATCGGCCATCTAAGAAGGGGTATTGGAATTCATTCCACTGGGATACGAAAGTTGACCAGTCTGCGGTGACCCTTGGAGTGTTCCCTTACATGCATTATGGGAGATTAGATTCCTGCATTTTGAACGAATGGGGCCATGCCTCGCAAATCATGGATGCATGACTCGATTTGTACAGACTTTAAAGGAGACTTCAAGTCAGCTTTCATCCCTGCAGAAATCGCAGTTGCCCAGCTCGAAGAACAGTTTGCACCTTTCTGCAAGGGCGCTAACATCCGATGCTTGCAGCGGTCAGGTAGAATACAAGTCAGCCCTGGAGTGGAAGAAATTGGCAACAGTCCTACGGCATTTGGGCTGCACAAAGCTGCTTGGGGTTGGCGGGCCCCTTTTTTTGATAAAGGCATAAGAGGGGTCAAAAGGCGTACGACTACGCGCTGGGCACTGACTGGCCATTCCGTGCCGAGTTGGCTGAGGAATATTACCGGACGGTCGGCGCCATCATAGCTCTGCTGGCTTGCTACTCTTCTTCTCTCAACGACAGGGTTTTGCAAATTCTCGCGGTCATGGTGTATCTTTTAGACCTTGTGCCCCCTGGATCCTCTTAAAGAGGCTTTTAGGGGACCAACCTTATTTTGAGCCAGAGGGTTCAAAAGCTAAGCTCTGGCTCACGAGTTTGGCAAGTGTTCATATTCGAGAAAGTCAGCAGGCCCCATGCCAAAGTGCATCTTCGGTTTATTCTACCCTGCCTGCTGGTGGATTTGGGAATGGCCACTGGCAACGGAATTGTCTAGCTAATTGTTGGTGACTCATGTTGGTTTTCCTGTGTGGTCAGTGTTTCCCTCTAACCAGCAATAACATGTAACATGACTGGCAATTGGGGGTATTGGCGAGGGTTTCCCTTTGGCACTGAGTCCGCCCTGCTAGGAGGAGTTTGGGCTGGAGTGTGTATCAGCTGGCAAGCGTGGGCCGATGAGCCTAGACCAAGCACCAGGACCGCCGGAAATGATCTCCCACCGTGCAGCCGCCGCACAGCGTTGCTGTTCTCAGTTGCCGCTTGCACGCCCGACCCTGGAGGTTGCCAGCTGATTCGGGGCTCAGCACGTTTCCGAACGGGTTGTAAATCACCCGTATGTTTCTGAAAGGTTGCGACCAACACAGGAAGGGCAATTTTGTTCAAAACCAGTCCGCCACCTGCAGGCCATTGATCAAAGCCAAGGCGGCTTGACCAAACACAACTGCAAGTCACAGCTGAACTTGTTGGGACCAGGTCAAACCAGTCTTTGCAGGAAAGTTCCTCAACATGGGCAACAGACCAGTCGATGCTTGGCAGCAAGTGGCTGACAGAGAAGTGATGTTGTGAGTTAGATTGGTGGACTCAATCCGTCTTGCCATGTGAGGACTACTATCAATTCTGCGAGCGGTTCGCAAGGCAGATGGAAAGTGAGGCGGACTGGTGGGGTATGATGATCTTTTTGGCACCTTGGCACGCAACAAGATTTGCTTTCAGAGGGCTGAGGTGTCTTCCGCGACATGGTCATGAATCAAGGTCATTCATGATGTTGGCAAGAGCGATGAGTTCAGAAAGGCGCTCTCGAGCGGATTCGTTTGTGGTTGGACGGCACAAGACTCAATGCAGATGGCTGGGATCTCATCTGGAGCCTGGGTTTCCATGTCACCCAAGACGCAACTGTTGGCTAATGTTCAAGGTTTTCCCTGGCTTGGGGATAGCAGGGCCAATAGGAACCATAGCCATGTTGTTTTTTGGGCAGTGAACTTGGGATCTTGGCCTCTTTTTTTCCAAGAGAGGTTCGCTTTGAAGTTCCCTGCCAATGCTTGCTAGTTGGAGACGAGAAGAAGACATTCGCAACCATCAATGAAGGCGGCTCTTGTGCCTCACCAGAGCTTTGGGCATGCTCCTTTGACACCAGGTGTTCGCTGCTCGTGCCTTGCTTGTTCTTCGACGAAAAAAGAAGCAAAGTCGCATTGACATGCATGGCTTCCATTTTGCGAGTTGCTCACATTCATGCTCATGGGATCTGCTCCTTCCGTACGCAGGCGGTGAACGAGACACTTCCGCCAAATCAGCGGACAGATGACCATGACAAGGCTCTGGCAAGTGCTTTGCTGCTGGGCGCACATGGTGTCCACGCGTTTTGCGACGACTAGTGAATTTGGTTTGTATCAGGTTCCCCCAAGAGATGCAAATGATTCAAGTGGCACGTTGCGCTGGGGATACATAAGCGGGGGGCCTTTTTTGGCCCATGGTAGGCAATATACGGGAATTGCAATGCATTCGTTTGCTTTAGGGGTTGAGTGGCATTCGTTTGCACACGCCCTGTCGCCTGGTTGGACAAGTTCCACATTTTGCCTGGCTCGCTATAGCGAGCTCACACGGGGTGGGGGTGGAGGGTGGCCTTACACCACTCATGAAGGTTCACCCACGGGTCAGCACGCTTTTGAGAGAAGCCAGTTTCTTTCTCCCACTGGGTGACACCCATTTAACTCGCCAAAGCGAGTTGCGTTCGCCGAGGAAAACCGCATGAAACCGAAAAGCCATTTGGAGCAACGAGGGAGCTTGTGAGTTTCGAGCACCATGACCCTTAGGGACCTGAAGGGTCTCCTTGCTCTAGCAGCTGATTTACTAAAAGTGCAACCAACCATAAAATACGTATGATACACGCACATTATCCATGAATATACATGTATATATTTGTATACATATATATATATATATAAACAAATACGCATATTCACAAGATTATGTATATTTATATATATATATATATATATATTATATGCACATGTTACAACAGGGCCCGGCTTCAATCACGGTAGGTGTTGTGTGGAAGTTGTGGATGGGGCACTGCAAGTCCGAAGACAATGGCTGGGGTGGTGCCACATCTTGGAACACATTCTCAAAGGCATAAGATGCATTTATTGACAGCTGTTTGGTGAGGACACCCCAGGTAATTGCCTTTACTGCAGATGACAGAGTGTACTACGGACCTCTCCACAAATGTTGCTTTCCCTTTCAGTTTTCCTTTAGTAGCGATTTCCTAGTTGTAGTTGAACCCACCGTATTGCCTGCCCATGTGCCAAGCAGACCCAGTTTCGTGGCTTTCTGGCTTCTCAGGAAGAGCGATGCGCTGAAAAGGCGGCTTCTGCCCTCGGCTGCTCGACCCACACGAATTTCTCGGGCCCGCCGTAAATCGCTGCGTCACCATCCCACGTTCAAAGGTTTTTTTGGGGCTTACCAGCGGACCCCTTCTAATTGGTTTCCTTTTGGTGTTCCCTTTGAAACTCCACTCGAGCCGTGGCCCCCAAGTTTAGGACCCCCACATTTCACATCCTTTTTTGTATCCACAGCTGGGATGTGATGTCACTATGACTTTCCTCCTTTGAATCACATCTGTTGATGTGAGACGTGATGTGGGAGGATCCTGGAAGCCAACTCCAAAGGACTTCCCCCCCCCTCCTGGGGCGCTGCCTTGGGCTTTTTTGTCATCCAAATGTTGGTTTCCCATTGTTTTCTTTGCGAATCATCCAGACCAACCCATACAGCGCGTGTTGGCATGTAGACACACTGTGTCGGCTGAGCGCAGCAAGGGCGGGGTGGGGGCACTTGAGAAGGGCCGTGTTACCTCGACGGCCGCAGAAGACAAAGTGTTGGTGGGCATTCAATGTTGGAGGGGATGCATGACATGGTACTCTGCCCCACGACTTGGGTGTCAGACAGCCTAGGGTGCAAAAGGGGGCCGATCGGTAGATTTGTCTCTTCGGTGGTTTGGAAGTCACCATTTTGGGTTGAGTTTGCCGTGGCAGGGGTTGATGTTTGAAGTCGAAATCCCGGGAAGCTTGTCCAGCCAGTTTTGGCACGGGCCCACTTCTGGGAGTTTGGATTCATGGAAGCAAAGCAAACAATAGAAGATGGGCTTTGTAGCGACCTAGCGCGGGTGTGCAACCTGACTGATGACGTTACCGCTTCCATTTGGATAGAATGCTTGGGGAATCTCCAACTGTTTATCTCCATGCTCCAAGGTTGCCGAGCTGAGCGCGGGCCTGAGTCTGGAACCCGCAAGGGCGGTCTCAGTTTTTTTTTTTTCTTCTGGTGGGAGGATCCATTTGGAGCCAAGACGTTTGTTGTCCACCCACCCACCCACCCACCCACCCATGCGTCCGTGCGTCCGTGCGTCCGTTCATGCATCCATGCATCCATGCATCCATGCATCCATCCATGCATCCATCCATGCATCCATCCATGCATCCAGCCAGACATCCATCCATGCATCCATCAATTCATCCATGAATTCATCCAAGCAAGAAAGCACGCAAGCAAGCAAGCAAGCGACCGACCGACTGACCGACCAACCAGTCAACCAGCAGCGCGCACAAACACATCTGACTCAATCTTCACCGGCCATGGGCAAAGGGCACCTGTACAAAGCGTACCCCACGCATGCTGAAGAAAACGGGCATCAGTCGACTCCCAGTGAAATGGTGGTCCACAAAAGTTGCACTCCTTTTGGACTTGCCCGTTCGCCAGCATGTAAACAGGGTCCGGAGTGTTTTGACAACAGCTCTCTCTCTCTCTCTCTCTCTCTCTCTCTCTCTCTCTCTCTCTCTCTCTCTCTCTCTCTCTCTCTCTCTCTCTCTCTCTCTCTCTCTCTCTCTCTCTCTCTCTCTCTCTCTCTCTCTCTCTCTCTCTCTCTCTGGTCCACAGCATCACTCACTCCGTTTTGAGTGTATTTGTTTAGTGGTTGGCAACTGACATCCACTCATCCAACAACCAACCACACGGATGCCCTTGCCATGGTTGGTTGGCGTACGATTCCTGGTTTCAGGAAACAAATATAAACTTTTGAACCAGTGCCTCTAGAAGAAACTTTGGAGTCTACCAAGCAAGTGCCCGGGTACGCTGGACATCGGGCTGTTGGTCTCTGTCGGCAAGGCCCTGCCCGGCAAGCGTCCATCACGGCGGGTTTTTCGACGAATTTTCAGCTGCCGCAGCTGGGGCAAGGCGGGAGAGTGGGGTGACAGCCAGTTTCTGGGCCAAGCTGTCTGACCCATCCCAGGCCTTGCCCTTTTTGAATTTCGGGTTTTGGCTAGGGGCCAGGTCTTCGGCTCCAATGAAGCATCTCATTGAGGCATCAAACGACTTGACTGCAGCCTGGCAGGCGAGATTGCTTGCATCAATTTTCGCGGTGGCTTGGCGACACAGGTCTGTTGTGTTGCTTCTGCTGAAACTGGCGACCTCAGGACTGCTAGAACTGGACAGAAAGTACTTGCTGCAGCTTGGCAGCGCGACCCATGCAGGTTTAGCATGACCCTGTGGCAGGCCATGCTCGCATTCCGTTTGGGACTTCCGGAATCGCGACGCATGCCGAGGAATGGATCATTGGACTACTATTTCTATCACTCTATTTTTGACATTGCTGGTGCATCATGCAATGCCGCTTGGTACGTTACACCCCCGCATTAAGAATTTGACAGCTTTGCCCTTGAAGTCTGGCGATTTCATAAAAACAACTAGGGACACTTTTGGGGACAGTTTCAAAAGGGAGCCTCCCACGGCGCCATTTGGGTAAAGCCCCCAGTTTGACGCATACCGCATACCTTGGCTCATTTTGCTCAGGAGAAGTATATTTTTCCGCTGGCTTTGGTTCCGGTGTACATGGGCTTCACCCAAGCAACTTGGTCGCGAACTGGCGGATTTGGTCGGTCGGTGCCCGGGCTTTGCAGCCAAGGCCATGGACAACTTGATCGCTAGATTGCACCTTGGTCGGCATCATGCTTAGAAGAAGGCTTGTTTGAAGCAAGGGCTAACGGGGATGTGGCCCGATGCAGTGGGATACGGAGCTATATTTCTGCTTTCATGTCTCTGAACCATCTGAAATGGGCCTGCCCCAGTCATTCTAGGAACCTTGCCCCCTGGCGGCACTTGCTGCTCCCTGGCCTTTGCACTGAGCCAAGGATAGAACAACCCAAGACTGATGAGAGGACGTGTCCGCCTTTGCGTGCGTGAGAGGGTGTGGGAGCTGTCCTATTTGCGTCCTAGAAGTCCGTGGGACCCGAAACCACACCTCCACCCAAGCAAAGCAACGCAAGTCTTCCCGGGCGTGTGCTTGGGGGAGGGTGGCCCGTTTGAGGGGTCCCGCAAAGAGATTTGCGGTCTCAAGCTTGTGTTTCTGCCAGGACGCTTTACTTCAACTTTTTGTACACGAATTTCCAAAGGCCTGGCGATTCGCTTGGGCATCCTTTACACACACACACACACACTAGATTGCGCCCCTAATTTGTGTCGTGCCACTGGTCGGGAGAGATGGAGACTTGTTTGCAGGTCATATTCCCAGTATGACCAGGAGTTTTCCACGCTGTGCATCTGGGCTGCTAATTAAGCGGACGCCGGCCGCTGGGAGCATTCCCTGTCTTTGTTGAGGAAAGCTAAGGAGTCTCGCGGTGTCCCAGAAGTTACAGCCCTTTTGGAGTGTTTTCAGGGAGATCAACAGGAAACCAACCATTTGCTGTATACGAGTCGCCTATTGATGGAAGCGCTTGCTTGCACTTTAATCTTCTGCCCACGTCCGATCCATGCATATTGAGCCATTCATGACTCGCCCGAACATAATTCGGCTCCTGTCAGTGGGTCCCAGTTTGCGCTGCCGACATGAATGAGCACTTTTGGGTTGGATGGAGGTCTGCGAAGCCTAAGACCTACGGGCAACATCGTATTGATTCCAAGGGCAAGGTTCCGAAAGAATATGCTGGAGGTTGCCCGCGGCTCGCCTTGCTACCGAGGTGAAAGCAGAGTATTCTGTCACGAAACCGGACTTGCTACGCTGCGTGTACTGGCGATGACACGGAACAGCTACAAGAATCCGGCGAAGGTGGGAAACCCAATGGCTTGGGTATGTGTTTTGTTCTTCTTTTTTTTCAAGGGCCTCCTGAAGCCAAGGTAGTTTGGAAGATCAGGGCAGCCGGTTGATTTTTTCGAAGTGCAACCAGCCCCTCAGAAAGGAGTCTAGTGGAGCACCACTTTGCGATCAAAACCAACATGAAGCCCCAGAAACCTGGCGGAACCTCTTTTTGAGACCTTGCACAACCGGCCCACACTTTTCCAGATTGGGGTAAACACAACACAAACTATCACCGACTTTATCATGCGAATGAATCCATGTCTGAAAACCTCAGACCGTTCATCCGGATCGCGAAACATGTGGACTGGTACAGGGGAAGCTGTCTGTACTCCCACCGGAAACCTGAAACCACTGTTTCGTTTCCCTTTCAGCACCCAAGAGGTCCCGATTTTGGGGACTCCCGGGGTTCGCCAGGTCCCATGTACGGGTGTTGCAAACACGGGGATTGGAATGAACATGTTGGGGGTTCTCAAGGTAACATTTGGGGTGTCACCAATATTTAACGGGGTTGAGAGTGCTTGGGGGGGGGGGGGGGGGTGGGAGGGGGGCTTCCTATTTTGTAAACGCAGCCTGCCAGATGGTTGAAGGTTGCCAGGGGTCATCCATGATGGGTGCTGATTAAGGCCCTCCCAAAAGATTGATGATTCGCCAAAATAGGCAAGACGAGTCGGTGGCCAGAATCCATCTACAGTACTTTGAGTGGTCTTTGCTTTGACATTGATTGAGTATGGATTGAGCATTGCTCGGTTGCTCGGTTAGGCGTCCCTGGAGCTGGCCTGTGCCACCCCCTTGAAGATATGTTGTTGGGGTTGTATAAAGGAACTTAGCGGTTTGGGACCTCGGCGGCGTGTGTTCTGGTGTGGTGCTAGGGTATTGGTTTAGTCCTGATGAAGGCTGAAGGGAACTTTCGAGCGGCATATCCAGATAGCATTCCTGTTTTTCTTCTTCACTTCTAGACTCAGTCAATGATTTCAGGAAATCTTGCCTGCCTTGGGAGTAATTGCTAGCTCAATCGCACGTGGATTGCACCAAATCTGGTTGACCCTGGGCCTTGTGGTGAATAGTGAATAGGTTGGCACTGTTGACTGTAGGGTGTCTGTGTCGGCGAACCAGTGAAGCACACGGTGAGGGAGACAGACCGACGCGCGAGGTGACGGAATTGCTTCTAGGAGACATGCAGCTGTTGGTGCAGGCGGGCCGTGGGCCGGGAGGTTGTGTGCTCTTAGGGTTCTGTTTGTTTTTTTGCTTGTAGAGACTTTGCCGTTCTGGCTGAGGGTCTTGAGAAGCAATGTTGCGGCCCAAAACCATCAGAATTTTAGAGCTTGGTGAAGACGGGCTCGTAGGGTTTCTGCAGTGTCGAGTGAGATGATCCTCAGCAGCCGACCTAAAATGACCTTTGGTTTCAAGCAGTATCGGCAACCATGTTTAGTCTTGGCGACCCCAAACCCTGTGACTGTTGGTGCCAGGCTTGGCTAACCTCCTGATTACCTTGTTTTCTGGGTCTGTTGGTAAGGAGTTCGCTCATGTCATACGGTTACTTGGCGATTTTTGGCATTCGCCGTCGGCCGTGTCAAAATGACACCTGAGCCCTTTTGGGGCTGCTTTTGAGGGCTGCGCTTGAAAAGGAACCCATACGAAACCAGCCGCCACCTGGTTTTGACATGTTCAAGTCTGGAGGTGGGTAGCAAGTTTTGCAGTGGAGACAAGGGACCCATGAAAGCAGGCGGTCAACAGGCAAGCCCTGGGACTTTTCTGCGGGCCGCAGGAGCTTGCTGGAAGCCCCGTGGGCCCTCAAATCATGCTGTATTACGGCCCAGACCTCTTGAGGCACGGCTTGAGTGACGGGCGCGCACACGGAGGTTTGATCAAGCGACAAGCAGAAGCTACTGCGGAAGATTGTTCAAAAGTCAGGGACCGCTCCAAACGATTGGTTTCCTTGATGTATACTTTTCCTCAATTTTTGGCCAACCTTTTCTGCTTCGGGTGGGCTTCCATCAAACATTTTCTGAAGCCAGCTGCCATGGCCATTGGGAAGGCAAGTGACGGTTGCAGCTCCGAAGTTTCTTCAAGAACAGACAAAGAGGCTCTCTGTCGCTTTACCGCATGCATGTGTTTGCTATGAGACAGATTCGTGTTGTATGACTTGTACTTGGTTCTCTTGAACGTCCAGTGCCAACAAATTGGAGATCCCTCAAACGGGTGATGGTTTCCTTTTGGCGTCATGTGAAGACTGCCTTGTTTGGTTCCCCCACAAAGCGCTCAAGCAGTTAGCCCATGGCCCAAATGAGAAACCGACCGAGCGCCTCGGCTCAGGACCAACTTCTCGCTGACGGCTCATTGTCTATTGTTTTGACCCCAACCCCCAAAGCAACTACCCAGGAGGGCACATTGGGATATGTGAGCACTGTTTGGCCACTCTGGGAAGGTTATCTATGAATGGTACGTCATGGTTTGGGGGGAAGTGGAGCCTTTCTTTGTTGGCGGGCCCGCCTTACAGACTCCATGTCTCTCCCTAGAGTCTCCGAGCCAAACATGTGGTCCTGTTTTCATCACCCACCCAACACGAACATCTCACCTGGCGGAGATTTCCATGCGGCGCAGGATGAGTCTTGGCGAGGATTTGACAGACCCCTCGGGGCAGAACATGATGGACGCCCTCGAGGTCTGGCTTCGCTTCGTCGCCTCGGGAAGCGTAGCATCAAGGAAGCGACTTGAAATCACGGTGCCCATGGGTTTGTCCAAGTCTTCATGGGGCAACCCTCTTCAGGGCTTGTTGAACAGCCACAGTTGGGGAGTGACGGGCTGGACTTATGGGGCCTTTGTGGGTTACTGCTGTGGACTTTGCGGCAAAATCTGCAGCCAGTTATAACAATAATAGGCTGCATCAGCAGGCGCGCGAAGTCCTCGATTTCTACAAAAAACAAAGACGGCTGCGAGGCAAATTTCTTGACTTGACGATTGAGATTGACAAGACCAGAATGGATGCTTGCGATAAAAGAAAAGCACAAGCCAATAAAGATGCCAAACATTCATGTTCGCCAACGAACTTGTTGGAATGGCACCCGCGTGGGGGGGTTCAGCTCCATGTGTTCCTGTGCTGAATGATGACCAGCTGTCAGGCTGTCCTTGGGGAAGTGCTTTTACATGCCTTGTTCTTGAGTGGGCCCAAACGCTCCGATGGCCAGTAGAGCAGGCCGAGCATGACCCCGGGGTCTCCCTTGTTGAGTTGCTGATAAATTTCATCTTGGTCACAGGAGTTGCTTTCCCGCGCCAAGTCTCGCGGAAAGCAGCTAGAGTTGTTTTCCGTCATGAAACTCAGACCGCAGAAGTTGCGTTGATTCCTTGTGCCTTTGAGGAAGCCATGCGAACACTTGACTCCATTGACTTTCAGCGTAAACGCCTTTTTGGTTTGCTTCTTACGCCACATGAGCTTAAGTGCCAGGGCCAGTTTTTGCGCAATTACGGTTGCAACAAAATGCGCAGAGGATGGACCCGACGGCCTGAGATGCTTTATCCAAAGGAGACCATTGAAACTGTCACTAGGGCGGTGCATTTTGGCAGCTTCCAGAGTGTGCATGTTCAGTCACCCGGGCCCTTGCTGCAACTTCGACCCAGCGCGTTGGACTCGATTTCAGATGATGTGAGATATGCCAATTTCCGTAGGCTTATGCGAATTCGTAGATAGTTCGGCAGGACGCATTGAGTGCGCTTTGTCTCGGTATTTTTGTCTTTCTCTTTGGGCGTGACTCCGCCCGGATTCTTTTGTTGCGGGCCTCACGCCGACCGGCCGGGGGCGTCTCAACGGATTCATTGACCGCAGGCCTTTGTGGGTTGGGTTTCCGATGTCTTTCCGATGCCCGCCCGGAGAGGCCTTGGGCTGCCTTTACAGAAAAGCGCGCAAGACCCTGGCCTTGGCCACCAGCCGGGGCCCAAAATCTGGGGGTTCCTGAGAGATTCGAGGATAGGGATTCAGTCCAGCCTGGGCCCAAGTGTGGGCAGACAGCTGAGCTTAAACGCCGGGGGCTTCAATTCCGGATAAATGTCAATCCCGTCTTCAAGCGTTGAGAGACACAAACTGCGTTTTTTTTCTTTTCCCCGGAGTCGTTCCCGAGCTCTAAAAACGGTGCTTCAGATTGCGGAGTGGATCGGATCTTTCGGGCCTTGAGGCGGGGACTACCAGTACCAGCTGAACGTGGCGCCCCTTGTGACGGTCATCCGGAAAGCTAAGGACTGGAAAGGAGGCCGGGCACCGGGCACCGGGCACCGGGCACCGGGCCGGAAGCCGCCTTTCAGGGCATGTGGCTGGCGCACCTTTCACGTAATTGCTAGAGAGCACGGTTGGAATGGTGTCGTGGTGGAATGTCGGTTTCTACAGGCTGACCAAAAGTGGTCTTGGCGGCCGTTTTGCCACAGTTTAATTTGGCATAAGTGTTTGTTGTTTTTCTTGCGCAACTTCTTGTTGGCGGCACAGACTTACAGTTTGTTGCATTCAATCGGAGGCTGGCAGAGACAGGCGAACAAGGGGCCCAGTTGTATATCCGTTGCCCGGTGGCACGCCTGCTTTCTTCGGGTACCCGTTTCAAATTACGAAAACGCTTGGTTCTTCCCCAAGGCCACTGGGCAAATAAGTTTGGTGGGACACAAGAAGGTTTTCAGACCAGAGAGGTTTTCATGCGGAGACATGCAAAAGTGGCCTCGGAGGGCGGAGCCATGCGTGCAACATCCTCATCTTGGCCAAGGGTCAGAGGCTTTTGCGGGTGGTACCAGCTGCAGATGCGCCCAGCCAAGTGACTGGTTGGCCCGGGGTGTCCACCCCCCTGCAAGCTGTACAGGTTGACCTCAAAGGGACCAAAGGGACCACACACACACACCCGCTCAACCTGGGTGTTTTGTTGAAGCAGATGATGATTCTACAATGCTTGGGTTTCCTTGTTGATTTCCTGCAACTCAACGTTGGCCAGGCAAGCAGCTGCGGGAGCAGCGTGGCGGAGTTGGATTGGATTGGGTTTTGGAGCCGTCAACAATTGTGTCTCCTGAGACGCGTGTCAGGACACGCGGCTCAGTTGGGTTTTCTCCTTTTGGCTAAGGCGGTCCCCAAGCCTTGAAGCCAACAGCACGCAGTAGGACCAAATCATGTTCACTTGGCGTGAACTGAAGCAAGAATAGGGTGCATATTTTCACGGGGAGTTAGGCCACTGTCAAAGAGAGCCAGACCCCTTTCATGACCCTTAAAGGCGCCAGGCCATTTTGCGGGTGTCATTCGACAGCCCCTCCCCACTCAATCACGCATTTTGCCTGGTGGATAACGAGTCGCCACCGTTGCCCGTGCTTATTGTGAACTTCGGCAGGACTTTGCCACCTGAAATCACGAAACAAGCCGTTACAAGTGGCCGTCGAGTTCCTTTTTCGTTTGCCTTTTGGTCATCTTAAAAGGGCTCTCGAACTTCAAGACCACCACCCCCGGCAACATTGAAGGCTCTGAGGACCTTTGGCATGGGCCGCGCCTTCGGGGCATTTCGGGGCCATACTGGGTGTTTTGTCACACGTTTCAAGTTTCCTATAGACCACAAGGGAGCTAGCTGACCATGCTGAGATTTGTCCGAACTGAACCGCGGGGGTGGTCAGAGTCAGAGCTCTTGGGGCCGGTTCCCTTCCCACTCGGAGTTTTGCCGGAGTGAGACATACTTTTGTTGGGGCTAACGTAATTTGTGTCGCCTTTTTGAGGGACCCCAAAAGAGGGTCGCCATTGGCGAGAAATCCCGCACGCTTTTGACCCAGGGTGGTGTCCGGAGTGCGGATCAAGAACAACGATCTGCACACTGCACCTTGGCAAAGGGGAAGCACGGCGAAGGGGTTGAAAGTGGCGGTTGATTGGGTGAAAAGCATCCATGAAACAAAAAGGTTGGCTGTGTGAAGGAAGCCAAGTTGGAGAGAAGGGAGAGAGAGAGAGAGAAAACCAAACAAACATTGACAGACAAAAAACAGGAATGATTGCGAGTTATCAGGTTTCGTGCATCTGCCGTTTTGATTTGGAATGTGTTGTTATGATGGGTTGTCGCCGTCCTTTGCCAAATCTGAGTGTCTCAACCAACCTGTTCCTGATTTCGGGTGGTGTCAAAAAGGGTTTGCTTTTTACCTTTGTGTGGTTCAAATTAACGGTCGACCTCTATTTGTCACCAAGGAGGGCATCGTGGAGTTGACCTAGCCAGGTCAGTCTGGTCTGCTTGTGCTCTCCAAGCGACTTGGTGGATCTCTGGTCTTCGGTTTCGCACTGAAATCAACCAACTTGCCAACACTTGTGGGCAAACTTGGGCGCTGGGCAAGCAAGCTTTGGTTGAGCCCGAATCTGCTAGTTTCTTTTTGAATGTTTGTTCGAGCCAACTCGCAAACAGTTGCTCGCCGTTGCCCGGTCATTTTGACCAAGGCGCGCAATATCTTCTCCTCCAAGCCCAGCCTGCGACACAAATTGTGGTTGCCCAAGCTTCACCGCAAACGCGTGCTAGTTAGGGACGCAGGCGAGGTCGGATCGGTCTCACGACTACCTGGGTTTCGCATGTCAGCTGTGAAAGATGCCCAGTCTCATGTATCTTGGGCATTTGACTTTTACGCACTAACAGCTTACGTGTTCTGTTTCACCTTTGGCAGAAACCCTGGCCACCTGGCCAGTTTTCCAAACCCCCCATCTTCAGATCGCGCCTCGCAGTTTTTGGCGATGGTGACTCGCAGCTCAGAGGCACCGGCGCGAAATCCGCTGTGTTCCAGCGGAAGGCCTTTGACGTCCGCAGACGGGCATATTCCCCGGATAGCGGCGCCGCTTAAAGGTTCCTTTTGGGTTTTACTCCTTTCTATCCAGTTCCTTTTTCAAGACTTCCTTTGGTTGGGTCTCGGCTTATTAATATGATATTTCATCCACCAACCCATCATGCCAACAGGGGGCAATCCATTGTGGTGGACCCACTGGGCAAGCAACACCTTGCCCCGTCTTTTGGGTGGATGCGCACCGAAAAGCAAAAACGGCCCCGGTCATTTAACCTTCGATCTGGCAGTGGCCATCGAAGAGCGGTAGAGCGCGTGAATCTGTGGGCAAAAGCGGCGCATGAGTTGTGCGCAGGCAACGAGCATCTGGACCCCTTCAGTTTGCAACCATCCCCAAGTGGGTATGGGTCAAATTTTAACCAGCAGGAGAGTGCAGGTTTTGGTCCATGTTTCCACTTACCAGGGGTCCATTTTGGGTACATATTTTTGACCCACAGCCAAGTGGCTCCTTAGCCTTGGCACATCCAACAAGTCTGCCTTTTGAGCACACCATCTTGTGGGAAGATGGTTTGCCAGCCCCGCCCGTCAAGCAAAAGAAGAGCTGACGCGGTTTGCACTACGCGCACTTGGTCTCATGTCCCTTCATCAAACACCATCCGAAAACAGGTGCACGGCACACCCCGGCTTGACTTGCGAATGACTTGCCGGCCAAAGCCTCGGCAAATGTTTCCTTCAGATTAGGCCCTCCCGCTGAGTCAGCAGTGGTTCCTCTTTGGGAGCCGCTAGTTTTAGGCGCGTTTCTGTTTTTGACGTCTTTCAGGAGTCTGCCGGATGCTGAATACGAGGGTTCACAGAAGCACGGTCCACTTTGGGTGGGCCGGCTTTTGAATCCGAGACTTAAGCTTGCGAAAACCGTTCCACACCGGGTCCACTTAGGAACGCCAACAACAATCAACCATCTTCTAATCATGGTGTCCCCCAGTCGAACATCACGGGGGTTCCTGAAAGAACAACACACCAACAAAGCACGGACCAGTTATGTGTTCAAAGATAGTACAAGGGACTACAGGGGTTTCATTCATGCCCGTGTGATCATTGAATGGTCAGCAGGAGACTCCAGATGGAAGATTGCGCTGCCCTGAAATTGAAGAACCCCAAAGGAGATCATCTCAAATGAAGCTCCTCCACAAACTTGGTGATCCGTATTTTTGTTCATGTCGGAGCCCGGCAGGAAGCTCCAACATGTTCTTTTGTTCAACTTGATCGGGTGGCCTGCAGCTTGACGCAATCATTGCCTGCTTGGCTCCCGACAAGAAACGGCACGAAAGCCACTTCCCTTCATTGGTTAGACACCATGGGGCCCCAAAAGAACTCACCAATGAAGAACTTCCGGCACATGAATTGCTTGAACAAAGTGAAGCATCAAGCACATGTTCATCGCGATGCGATCCATGGGCATAGCATTTATGGTGGGTGATTGCCGACTGTCAAGTTTTCTGCATGGCACCGAGCTCCGGGATCAAGTCCGGCAATGACTATGCGCAAGAGCCCATTCTTGCCGATGCTTCAAAGGGTCGCTTGTTTGTAAACTTTTTTTTTTTTCGAGCGGAAAGTACCGTGCTTCACTGACCCTTTTGGGCACATGCAGCGTATGTTTTTTCCTTGGCCTTCCAGCTGTATGTGCTCCGCGATGATTTCCAAGTCCCCGGAATAGCTTCTCAAATGGCAGGTGCTTGTGGGGTATGGAGATGGGGGGAAGGACACATTCCCTACACACACACACCTGGGGTTTGAGGGCTCGGTCAGGAATCTTCGGCCTGCGTCGCCTTTTGGGACAGTGCCATGGAGTGGAGCTCGTCGCGCCTCACGCCGAGTTCCCGCCGCCTTGAGGAGGGTGGTGGGAAGTGGGGCGCGGGGCTGCGTGTTGGGGGGGGGGCGCTTTGGCCAGTTTTTGTTTTGAAGGCAGCACTTTGCAAGAGGAGGGTTTTCAGGAGCGGAGAGATGTCTCCCCTCAGCGGAGCCTCAGCTCTGTTGGTGCCAAAGCGGATGCCGACGCAGTGCTCGCGGCCACGGCACGGGACGTGAAGGCTGTGGCAGATGCGCAGAGCCGGCTGGTGCGGGTCATCGAGGAGTGGGTCAGATCCAAATTACCAGAAGGTGTCAGGGGAACCATTGCCCATACTTGGAGTTGGGACCTTGGCACGTTGTTTCTCAGCGGTCTGTCCGTTTCCCTTTGGGCTTCGTTGCGCCGTGCCGCGCCGCACCAGCAATGCCCGGCCTCGTGGCCTCAGGACGTGTCGCAGGAGCTGACCCAAAGGCTGGCAGTGCACGACACACGGATCCAGGAGCTGCAGTCGGCGCTGCACGAGGTGTCCAGTCGCTTGGCCTCTTTCCCCCAGATAGCTGAAAGCTATAGGGGTTCTAATTTCAAATAAGAAGGGAAGTGATTTGCGAGATTGATGGGCCTGGGCGAAGATTGACGGTGGGGTGCTAGGGTGCATGCAGCAGGTGCTGCTTTTGGGGGGTGACGGTGGGCGCGTGTTTTTGCATGTTGACGGTAGGCCGCAAGGGGGGAATCAGTTATGGATTCGCGGGTGCTGTCGGGCATGCAGGCAACGGTGCAGGCGCATGTTTGCATCTTGACGGTAAGGCGCAAGGGGGGCATGCAGCTTAGGTGGTGGTTTGGGATTCTGTTTGGGGTGCTGGTTGATTTTCACAAGATTGACGGCTGGGTGTCTTGGGGGGTTGCTGTCTGGGGTGCTCTTCAGGGTGATGGTGTGGGTGCAGTTTTGCTCGATTGACGGGCTTTGGAGGTGCTGGTGTGCAAGCACTGCTATCTGGGTCTATGCTGGTGTATTTGTTTGTTTTGGGGAGGGGAGAAATCAAGCCTCAAATAAGCCCAAGGCAAGGGCACCATACACTTGGATCTTTTGTAGCGCTTTTGAAGTGAGGGGAATCTATATGAATTTGAGTCCAGGGCCTGACTTGAGATCACGGTGCGCCTTTTGGTCTCAACCGGCTTTGGCAGTCATTTTGTCCCTAAATAAGGGGTGGGCTTCACCATGCCAAATCCAGAAAACAAATCTTGGCCCCAACAGGTGAACCGTACCTTCGCGTGGCCAACATGATGAGCAACCTGGATATTTTGGAATACCACCTAAGCCAACATTTCGGTTTCCTGCGATTCTTGACTGCAAACGAGGTAGCCAGCAGTCCTTGCACGACACCTTCAACCGGGTTCAGGCAGGCGGAACGGTTCTGACAGTTCGGATAGGTTCAGATTGCCAGTAGCCAGCATGGACCAGCCAGTCCAATACAGTCCTTGGGCTTCCGACCTTCGTCTTGGATCTTTGATCGAGAAGGGACAAGGGAGCTGTGGACAACCACGGACCTGTCTCGTCTTCATATCGCCCCGGAGAATGTTTCTTGTCTGACTGGACAGTTGGCCAGCCTCGCTTTGAGCCACTGCCTCCCCTACGAGCCGCTTGGCTAGGTGGAAGAGACGGCCTGGCACAGCTCGCTGAACGCGGAGTATTTGCGCCTGCGCACCAGCGACGGGGAGTATGCCACGAGGCTCCAGTACCTAGAGTCCAAGGCCGCCGCGTGGCTTGGGGATCCTTACGCCAGGGGCCGCTGAAGTTAGGGATCCGGTTTGGGGGATTTGTTTGGCCGGCTTTACAAGTTGATTTAAAGAAAGGTTCATGCGAATCGAGTTCCAACGGTTTGGAGGGGCCAAACCTCTGTTCCTTTGGCCGGGCCCCTGCCAGCAGCTTGGCGAATTTACACTCGTTTGCCTGTTCCTGCATTCAGGGCATGCCAGGCTGAAATTCATGCGGAGGATTAATCGATGGGCGGACATGCTGCGCCAATATGGTGGTACTCTAAGTGGCATAGTATTATGTCGAAGTCTGAGGGGTGTGGTTTGACCTGTCAATTTGGCAGTGCCAAGGGCCTGTTTTGGCGGCTTTGGACGTTGACGCTTGTGACACCCTGGAAAGGTGGCAGCGGTGGAGAAGTTTCACCATGCCCGCACGGGCAGGCGTGCTTGGGGGTTGGGGCATGGTGCCTTGCTTGATGCTTTGCATGTTTGCACCTTCCCCTACCTAGCAAACAACTAGTATCCCTTCTGCGCTGATTGTAAACGCAAGCGTCCATCCAATCGGAAACCACTTTCAGGTTGGAAACCAAAGCGTAAGCAACCTCCCGCAGGGGTCTGCCATTTTAGGATCCCCGCAGAATTTGGATCGGTAGGAAAACGGGACTTGCAACTCAGCACCCATTTGGACACAAGACAACTTTCCCTTCTACCCAGCCATGTGGGAAAACATAGTTTGACAAACCTTGTCTTCTTTTGCTTTGGAGAACCCTGCTGTGCCTTTGAAACAGGTGTGCCCGCACTTCTCTTGGCCGGTGAAGAACATCGTTGTGGGGCGATGCCACGTTCAACTTGCCAGAGGGATGGTTCGATCCCTGCGAGGTGGGAGGAGCTGGAGCTGCTGCCGCAGAAGTGGCAGCAGCTGCAGCTGCAGGAGAAGGAGCACACGGAGGCCGAGGAGCCCAGCGGCCTAAGCACTTGATTGAGATCTGGTCGCAGAGGTAGCCCCTCTGGAATTGGGACATGGTGGATGACTCAGTGGACAGTTGGTCAACACCCGGTGACAGATGCCAACCGAAAGATTCGTTGGACACATTCCAGGCGATGTGTGTCCATGCATGACAGCTTGTACTTGTAGTGTTAGCTGCTGGCACACATCAGTCATTGCACGCAAGCTTGTGAGATGTGGAGGTCCCTATATTCAGCCCAGGCAGC